CATCAGTGCAGGGTCCTGAGGGGAAGCAACTGCGGTTCCCTCTCTTCTGCTCGGAGGCCTCTCTTGCTCTGGTTGCTTGGCAACCCGCGTGTTTCTGCCAGGGAGGGGTTTATTTTGTCCAGGAATGAGGAAAAGATTGGAACGAGTTGCATGAAATGTGGATGTAGCTGTCAACACGAGATGCTCGCTCAAGGCTCAGCGCTGTGATGGCTGGAATCAAGGGATCCTTCAGTGTCTCCTATTGCGATGAATCAATTTCACTCACTCAAATATATATTTTCATGTGAATAAGGGGGAAGAAATATAAAAAAAATCAAGTGCCTCTGTGGTAATGCTGGGGTTTAGCATTTTTCTGAATAGAAATACAGAATCCATGGAACCTTTTTTTTAATACACGATACCTACACCCTGCAGTACAACCAGTCATGATAAAAAACACTTTTTAAGTATTTACTTTTATTGTTTTTTGTTTTAGCTTCCAATAAATCTATGGAACAAAAGTTTCTCAATATTTTTAATTTGCTACTCAAACATTTATAATTATAGTAGCCTAAAAACATAAATTGAGCTTTGCCAGACATATTACATATTGTCTACAATGCTACACATCCAGCTAAATGTTATATGTGTTGCTTTTTGCTAATTTAAAGAGAGAAAAATGCTTTAAAACAGATTTAAATCCCTTAAAATGTGCTTTTATATATAGTTTATTTCTCTAAATCATGTCTGTCACTATTTATTGAGAGATAAACAATACAATAACACTTCCATTATTATCATGTACATGTATATCATGTGTAATATTACGTTTGTCATCATGTGCAACACTTTCATCTCATTTGTCATTTTGAACACTTATTACGTTGCTATTGTTATTTATTACTTTGATCTGGCACAATTTCCTTTAATTAATAAAAGGTCTATGTAATGTTATAGTATGTTATGTTATGTTATCTTATCTTATCTACCAAATGTGCTTCCAAAGGAGTCCTTGACAGTGAAGTAAACAACAGTTAAAACATTTGTGTTCCAAAAGGTTTGTGTGTTAGTGTGAAAACATGAGGGATATGCAGGCAAGGACCTGGTTCAGCAAATACTGTTCAATATCAAGCTCATAAAACACGGCAGGAAAAACAATATTTACAGGAAACACTCCAGACTGGGCTGCCAGCACCACCTGAGCAGAGGCCGCTGCAGTGGAAGCTGGTGGAAGCACGATTTCAATCTATGGTTAAGCTTTGATAAAATATCTTACTCCCAAGTCAGTAGCTATAGCTCTCAGGGGAAAGTATAGCGAAGCTGATTACATAGAGAGTCACTAAATTACTTTGTGTTTATTTCTGATGCACACATGCTAGGATTTGTTTGCCTCCTATTACACTGCATGGCCTTCTCAAGTCTGAGGCCAGTTTTCATGTTTCCTGCTGCTACAAAACATTTAGAAGTGAGAAAGTTTCATCGTGGCACGAAAAAAGTATTTCTTATTGTCTGACCCATGTCACAACTGCTGCAGATTTTGACTAACAACATTTACAGGATTTTAAAATCAAGAACTATGTGGCGAGTTGCCGCACTGACTAACACGACCCTGGTGCGTTGTTTAGTGTGTGTGTGTGTGTTTGTGAGCACCATGTGATATTTCCAGCTGGCATATGAACTCAGCAGATGAACCCAGATCAGCTGTTTGTCCTCTAGGGGAGGTGTTCTGACTCATGGGATTGGCTCACAGCTGTGTGTCACACTGCGTATGTGTGTGAAAGTATGCCTGTATTTACATGTAAGTCAATCCTATATGTTTGCTCGTGCCAGTACGTGTGAATGGGAGTGTCCACATCTATTTGAAACAACAGATCCCAACAAAACATATCTTGAACAACAAATGCACTCACTGCAGTCGATGCTGCAGCCCCATTCATCTACAGTATGTGTGTGTGTGCTGCAGGAGCAGACGTAGTTATAGTAGCAGGCTTTCCCTGTGGAAGCAGGGGTAGTCAGCCTGGACCACTTTGATTCTTTATTCATCACCTCACTGTATAATTTAAATACTTTATACACCGCTGTATGTGGAGAAAGGAAAGAAAAGAGAGGGAAAAAGGTGTAACATTTAATGAGTGGACACCAGGAGGACGACTGAAGTGATGGCTAGAATACTAACTGTGATAAAGTAATGCATTTTTTTTTCCATCTGCAGAGATTCTCAGATATAAATGAGGTCAAGTAATACATTTGCATTATGATTACATATAGCCATAATGTTAGGATATGGCTAAAACTAAAGAGTGTTACCAGGCCTCAGAGGGACCAGGGGTGTGAAAATGGCAACCCAGTCTCATCTCAAAATGTGTAATAGCTACGTTGGTCCACTGGGCAAAACGTAGTAATGTCACAATCCAGCCTCCCAAATTGTGAGATGCTTACGTTTCTTTTTGCATTGTTTGTTTTGCATTGGCCTGTGCCCACGTCACGTGGCTCTCAATTTCCTGTCTGCAAAAACATCACCAACAGTCCTTGTATTTTCAGATAGAAATGTCATTTTAATACACAGTTTGGGAATTAAAATACATTTTGATAACATTTCTAGTGAGAAATGTGCCCTTTACTTTCACAATCTTCACCCAGTTCATGTCTATGATCTATATTTTATTAGTTATCATGATTATTTTTTCCAATCTCACCAGAAAATTGTAGGACTGTTTTTTATCATAAAACAATGGGCAGACAAAAACATAGGCATCTCACAATTTGTTCAGATTGTGACATTACTACATTTTACCCAGTGGACCAACATAGTTATTAAATGTTTTGAGATGAGAATGGGTGTGAAATGGTGACACGTGAGCGGGAGGGAGTGGCAGGAGAAATGAGAAGGAGATGCTCTGGTCTGGGAGGAGCATCAATCTGCACTTGTGCATATCTCTATCAACACTGCTGGTGATACACAGGATAATCATTTTACATTCACAAGAAATAGCTTACACTCTTCACCCTTCCACATGTCTTTGTTTTCTCCATGCATTTGCACTCAGGTTTTCTCTCCTTCCACCTGCAGCTGTCCCTCAGACTCAGGCTTGCAACTTCATTTATCTGTCTTCCCAGTGTTGATTCAGACTTCCAAATATGATGATCATCTAATTAACATTATGTGGCACTCAGTGATAAGCTGTTTATCCTTTTTTACGGTTCTTATTTGTCGTAATAAAAAATAACTCCATCCTCTTTTGCTCAGCTCCTGCTGTCTTTATCTACAGTTTAATACGGAACAATAATTTATTATTTAATGTATTTCCCTCTTGATTATTGTGGAGTTGTAGAAAGTTCAGAGTGACATCAAAAGTAAATACTCAAATATAGTAAAAGTCTCAAAATGTACTTTTTAATTTAATATGTACTGTTCGTACATATTAAAACAGAAGCAGTTTTGAGTTTTGAAAACATCATAATGTCTATATGTGTTGAAATATTAGATGTATCAACATCTGTTTGTAGCCAACAACTGACAGAAAGTACAATGAAATAATAAACAATATTTATTTTCAGGTCCCATTGAATTGGAGGCTTTCTAAATAAGTACTCTAATAAAATATACTCTAATAAAATATAAATGCTAATTTCTCCTGTAAAGACTACAAAAGCGGTGCTGCTGGGTCTAAAATGGACAATTCTCAATGATTTATCAGTTATTGGTCCGGGTCCAGATAGGATGCCATCTGGGTCCGGATAAGTTTTATGGAACCATGTTCTAGTATCATCAACCAGATTTAATATACGAACATGAAAACAAACCACCACATGCACCGTCTTGTTTTAGTTTTCACGGACTTCATGTACAAACTTGATATCATGCATGCGATAATCGTACACTGTCATTTGTAAGACACACACTAACATGTGGGATATGTGGGTTTGTCCATTGGGAATGTGTTTCATTAAGTGATTTTCTCTAGTATTGCTGTAGTGCGGAGCCTCTTACCGATGTGTTGGATGTAAAATTGCTCTGTTGTGCAGTATGTAATAGATTGTCTGACCATGTCACTCAGAGCAACAGTAGACTTATATTTTGTCCCATGGCATAGCAAGATGCCTCTCGCTCATTCTTTGTAGCAAGTGTGTGTGTGTGTGGCGACTGTGTTAAGGTGCTACCACACTGTCTGCTCTCTGTCAGCATTGCTTCCCTTGGGCATCAGTGTTTTCCTCACAGCTCCACTCGTCTTTAACAACATGGCTCCACAGAGGTGTCAGGACCCTGAATAACAACAGCAGTTGTAATTGTATTTGTGTGTGTGATTGTGTCTGAAATGTGTGCATTCACAGAGGGACAGAGTGTGCTGTTTGTTTTTCTCGTGGCTCTGTGTGCGCGTGTGTTGTGTGCATGGATTTGCTTCCTCTCATGCGTATTTTTTGCTGTGTGTGTGCTCATTTTCGAGCAGGCTTGTTCATTAGGTCTGTAGGGAGGAGTGCTTTCTGCTGACTTTGTTTGGTTCAAAGCCTGAGGCTCTTACTGATCAATAGTATCCCGGACCCACCACGTCTATGTGCAGCTGACTGGCTCTCTGCATGGCAGGCGGCCACGGCTTAACAGCAGAAAAGTCGTACATCAATATTGCTTACATCTTTCTAGGTATATTTCGGACACACCCTTAATCAATCATGAATGTGCATGAAATTCAGCCTCTTCACTTTGCATACTCTGAAAACATGAAATAAAATTACATTGCTTGTATCCCCCTGCAGGAGAAGTCATTACAGCGTGGTGACAGTTTGTGTGTTTCTCTGGCTTTAGGCACACAAAAAGGAAACCATTTACATGTGTAAAAAATACATTTCTTTTTTGTTTGTATGTTCCTAGGGGGGCAAAAAGCCAGCTGAACTTTTCACAGATCACTAATGATTACAACATTTTGTCCTTTTTTGGCTGAGGCGGACCAGCAGGTCTCCTCCACACAGTGGTAGTAGATATAAAAACATCAGCACGAGCTAATCTGCGTCTGTCTTCTGCTCAGGTCTGGATGACTGTCTCCAGCAGTACGTGAAGAGTTTTGAGCGGGAGCAGATGGGGGGCGAGCAGCTGCTGCACATCACCCACCAGGAGCTGGAGGAGCTGGGCGTCACCAGAATAGGACATCAGGAGCTCATCCTGGAAGCTGTCGACCTCCTCTGTGCCCTGGTTAGTCAGCTTCTGCTACTGACTCACATCATGTCTGTCAATGTGTGATGACTGCACAGTGCCGTATGACCGCCATGAGCCACACCTACGGAAGCTCAAAACTGACTAAATGTTTTCCCAACAAGTCAAGAATATAGGCTTACTGATAGTTTTGATAGATAATGCTTATGTTAGAATTAACTTGCGAACATAGTTTGCATTACCTTGCTGGTTATAAATGCAAACAGTTAGCTTCTCCTATTTTAGCTTGCTATAGCCTACCTGAGATAAGTTTAAATTAATTTTTTTAAAGTCAAAAGCTTTTCTCCAATTAGAAGTTAAAGAAAAGGTTTGGTTCTTTTTGCACTCAATTTGAATAAATAAACAAAGGAATTGTTTATTGATTTTAACGTATTTCTTTGTAGTGTAATTGATGCAAAAAGTGGATTTGGTCATTTATTTCAACTCTGATATATTTTGACACATGTATTTGCATTATTAATCAATAGCACTTGCAGTCCAAAATGGAGGAGGCTAATTAGCTGCACCATCCACTTTTACTTAACCCTCCTCTCTCAGATATAAACTGCTCCACAGGAGGACTTGCAGATATTGGTTTCAACTCAATATTACAAATAAAATCTTTTGAAAAAACCAAGTCAATTTAATGTCCTGAACAGTAAACAGTACAAAACAGAGAATGTATAAGAGCGTATTGCATGTTGCTATCATGTTTTCTGCGAGCTGCTTCAAATTAAAAAAAATCTAGCTCTTGCCAAATGTATTTTGTATTTAGTAAATTAACGCTGCTGCTTGTCTTTGCACAATATTTGACATCTCAGAAAAGGCTATTAGCATCTCGTTTTTTCTGTGGAAAAACACGTACGATTAAAAATAAAGTATTTAGTGGTATTGGTGTGTTTTATGCATCAGCAGATTACTGATTTAAAAATAGGCTATAATTTATGCTGTGTTGGTCAGAATAACATTAAAACCAAATTTGATTGAAACTTTCTTAAAAGTTGTTCTGTCATACAACCTCTGAGAAAATTCTCTTCTAGGCAGAAAGATGTATTTATTGGTTGTTGTTTATTTTCCTCCACCAGTTATTGATATTGACTTAAAAGATGGTGTGAAACATCCTCTATCATTTGGGCCTTGCGTTGTGTGCACTGCCTCGGTCACTGCTGACTGTATGTGCAGTGGCCCTGCTCAGGATTAGGGAATTAGGGAGAATTAGGTGCTACTCTCCCAGAGAGAGAAAGCGAGTGAGACGAAGCGCTAGTGAGAAACAGCAAGAGAGTGAGAGAGAGAGAGAGAGAGAGAGAGAGAGAGAGAGAGAGAGAGAGAGTTTGTAGAAAGAGTATGCAGGATGCACCTTATCTCCCAGGCACACATGGCTGGATTAGTTGGGGTTTGAATATGTGTGTGCGTGTATGCATGTGTGTGTGTGTGTGTGTGTGTGTGTATACATGCTTGTGTGTGTGCTAATCAGCACCTCTTCTCATTCAAATGTTCCACCATGGGAATGAGTGTCCCAGAGCAACAATCACCATATGTCCTGGAACTGGACACACACACACACGTAGTTGTGCCAGGTAGACGAGATGAATCACCAAAGCTACCGCTGTGAGAAGGTTTAAGGGATAATACCAGTTTATTACAACTCAGGTCTGACTTTTCTGAGTTTCAGCTTTAATTCCTATCAGATTTGATAACACTGTATGTTAATTACTGAGATCAGGGAACACACTGACATCTGGGGGAGAAACATGAGCAGTCAAACAATCAGATTGGTTTTAAACAAAGCCCCAGGTTAGCCAAATTTATCACAGGCCGTGACAGCTGTGGCTGGTATTGTTTTCACACTGTGTGTGTGTGTGTGTGTGTGTGTGTGTGTCTGTGTGTGTGTCCATGTCCTAGAGACACCTACTCTAGCAGTAACTACCAGAGAGACGGTTTTGAGTGGCAGATGTTTATATATCTGTTAACAGATTTTGTCTTACTGCAGTCACAAAATGGAAAATCAAAATAAAGGCAGAGTTTGAAGACAGATGAGGTCCGACCCATGAGTAGTGAATTCTGAGGTGATAAAGTAGTAATGACCACCAAGTTCTCATGGTCAGAATGTTAGATGACCTTGTGGCTCGTGTGATCCTATCACAAAAGAACTTAAAGCAGGCCTGTGAAAATATTACCCAAATATTGCTTGTTATAATACTCAATCAACTTCACAGTTCAATTTAAACCTATCCGGTAGCCGAGACGTCTCACACAACTGCATTAACGAACAAATAGGAATTCAAAACTGACAACACAACAGCAAAACCCACATAACGGAAACAGAATTGCAATGGAGGTGAGCGACATAGTATTGCAAGGACTTAATATTGACTTAATGCAGTCAAGTGAGCCGTCGTTTGTGATAGGTGTTACGGTACAGGTGCTTGAAGAGTCTTGAAAGGAAGCACAAACATTATTACTTAATCCTTTTTGGCTCGTGTCATTGTCAACATCCATTGTCTTCCGCTGTGTTTGTGTTTTAGCTTTTAGTTAAGTCTTGGCTTTTCCAGTTGTGTGGTTTTTGCATCCGTGTTTTCCATGAATGCACTTTCTGAGATATCTCTGCCACCGCACATAGTTCACCCAGTGCAAAATTTTTGTTTTGCTTACCTGCAGTTGGCTGATGTGCAACCTTTCTGATTGTGCCACTTTTCTTGTCCCATTGGTATCTCTGTAAAATATTGACATACTGGACTTATCTCTGTTGAACCAGCAGACCCATGAGTATTTAGATTATAAAGGAAGATTCACTGTCGTCAGCAATATAAAAAAAATATAAACCATCATAAGGAAAGCAAAACCCTGATTACTTGGCTCAACCATTTTGATGCTGGTCGTCCTACAGTAAAAACCGTGGCGCTTCCATGGCTTTGGATCAATGCAACTGTCAAATGCTGACTGAGCTTTACTGTAAATGTGGAAGTCCCCTCTTTTATGCCTATGCAATCAAGGATTTGCCCTGAGCATCTATGCTAAGTAGGTTTCTAAGTATGCAGTGAATTTTCTTCAAGATACTGTAAGAAAAGAGCGAAACATGAAATAACACAATGACGGCTTGTTCTAATATCCGAATTGAAAGAAACCCATGAATGGCACAGATCTCATTATATTTTAAGGGAAAGTTCACAGAAAATGAAATTACACTCATTATCTACTCACTGCTATGCCGATGGAGGGGTGGGTGAAGTGTTTGAGTCCACAAAACACTTTTGAAGTTTCAGGGGTAAACAGCATTGCAAGTACATAAATGGTGACCACTTCTTCATATGTAAAAAACAACAGAAGAAAATTCAATGGATGTGGGTCATCCAAGTGTCCATAAAGCTCAACATTTAAATTTGACAAAAAACAGCATCATTTACATCATGTTTTTACCCTTAATGTTCATTATTATCCTCCTAGCCTGGAGCCGCCTTCACGTTCGCACACACAAGCTCTTGCCCAAGCGCTGCGAGACGAGCGTATCGCGAGAACTGCAGTTACTGCAACCCCGGAGGATAACAGCTGACATTTAGGTCAAAAACATGTTGTAAATGAGTTGAATTTAAATGTCGCGGCTTACGGACACTTGGATGACACCACTGAAGTGGAGGCATTTTTTCTGTTGTTTTTTTAAGTTTTGATGAAGTGGTCACCACTCAATATTATTGGATTAGAATGAATTTATCATAATTGTTTCTGCCACATACAGTGTATTAACATAAGGTTTGGAGCAAGTTTCTTTTCTTCTATCAAAACATCAGAAAATCATCAGCAAACCTGGTCAATTACTTTGTGTATCATATTTTTAAAGGTTGTTAAAGTAGTCGCTAAGACATAATTATTTACTTTTGAGATCTTTTCATATCCTGAAGGTTGTATTTATTGTGAAATCTATCACACAAATATATTTTTTTTTCCAGCACCCTCTATGTCAGCTGATGAGGTTTAGTTTTAGTTGAGTCTAATACAACTCTCCATCTCCAATTTCTCAACCTTTCTTTTCTTCTTTTGTGGCGAAAGAGGAAATGAGGAACAGCATCATTCTCTCTTGAAACTGGACAAAGTTGAGATAAAGGTTAACTCACAGACAAACACATTCATATGAATTTACAGTTTCTAATAAATTTGATATTCATATGTTTTGGCCTTTAAAGAGCACCTGCAAGATATTCTGACTATTCACCAAAACACCTCGAAAACAACTTCAGTCTTAACATTTTCTCAGAGCCCTTAAAATATCTTGGCATGATCATTAATAATAATTCGGTAGATTTATTATGTTGTAAGACCCAATTCCTCTTGTGACTCATGGCTTCCTGTCCTCCTCTAAGTCTTTCACACATGAGTCAGCTTTCTGTGTTTGTTCCTTTTCAATGCTACCCTGCGTGACTCCAAATTAAAATCCTGTTGGCCATAATTTATATATATTGTCCTTTTCATCCTCATTTGAACATCTGAGCTCATTAGACAGGACTCCTCAGATGAAAGCTGGAACGAAAGATGAATATTTTCCCGTTATTGTCTCGTCACGTCACTCAATGTATTTCCTTTGCCTCGAGACTCTTGTTTGATCTGATGGTGTGTGCATATACTTATATGTAATTTTAGTCTTTCTTTCTTTCCCCTGTTTTCTTTTATGACAGTATTTTCATGTTCTTCCTATCTGTCGATTTCTCAAGGGAAACACTTCATCAACAACCCTTTGTTTTAAACATCCATACAAAAATGGTCTTTACACGCACTTGATCAGTTTTTAAGCAGCATCCTCTAATAGATTTTGGATTTTTCTTGAAATCAAGGGGAACTTGTTTCATTTTTAATCTAGTGTTCAATTGTAGAAAATATTAGTTGTATAATTTAGTTTGGGTAAATATGAAAAGCCTGTGATAATAATTTAATATCCACTATATATCTGGGTTCAAAGGTAATAGTTTGCCGTTAAAGATAAAAGTGACACCCACGCAATCAATAATCTCTTGACTGATGGAGGTAATATAAATTCCCTTTAGTGGCCTCCAGAAGCTTAATTTTAACAACAGTGAATGTGAGTTTACTGTTGAATAATACTGATTCATATTTTACTTTTGAAACTTAAGGATGTAAAATAAATTGTTTTGTGGAGACAGTTCAAAAACGATCTTTGAGTGTAATTCTGTTGACAATAGTAGAGATATTAGCACAGAAGGAGAGACCACTCCACACATGGCTGCTATGGCAACTACATCGACATAAAGATGGAGTTGGGGGGGGGGGTTGTTGCTCTAATGGCATTGCCCTCTCACTGTATTGATTTGGCACACACAAGCGCACATATGCAGGCACTGCTCAAATTATTTGTCAGTCTTTTTCCCTCTCTCTCTCTCCACACACACACAGCAAATAAGACAGTCGACACAGGGCATTATTCCCCGCTTCATCTCAGCAGTGCGTCCCCTGGAAAGAGCCGCATGCAGCTCTAGATCGAATCATAGGACAGCCTAATTACAGCTGTGAGAACATGTGCGCTCCAAGTTCATGTGTACATCTATGTTCACACAGAATACTGAAGATTAAACAGAACACAGTGTATGCATGACCCAGTTTCAGTGAGATGCATAGCTGGGTGCCATCTCCTCCTCTCTCTCCCTCTTGTCTTCTGCCTCTTTAGTTCCACAATTCCCTCATTTCTCTCTCCTTCGCTCTCCCCCCTCTCCCTCTTGCTCTCTGCTGCCACCACTGTGAAACCCTCTCTCCTTTGTAGTCGCTGTGGTCGTGACTGTGTAGAACAGATCTAGAGGCAGAGGAGGAATAGATACGTCTATCTCTGCCTGTGCATCTGACTATACAAGGGTATCTGTGTGTGTGTGTGTGTGTGTGTGTGTGTGTGTGTGTGTGTGTGTGTGTGTGTGTGTAGCCTTTGTGTCAGCAGGAATCAGGCTCTGTCAGGGAGGACATGACTGGAGGTGCTACTGGACACTGAGTGCAATGTGGCTCAGTGGGTCTCTGTGTGTGTGTGTGTGTGTGTGTGTTTTCTGTGCGTGCATGTGCGTGCAAAGAGTGGTTGTTTTATGAAAATGCTCGTGGTTATGCAGAGCTAGTAATTTTAGATTCAGTTCATTCCACTGATTCAGATACTATTGATGCAGTTCCAGAAAACCTGTTCAATCATTATTTAAAATGATTTTTTAACAATGTTTACCTTCTAAAATATAAATTGATATGGTCTCACATTATTTTATCTGATTTAAAGTTTCTTTGTCAATATGCTAAAAGATTCTAACAAAAAACATTAACAGATGGAATCTGATCAATGGTTCAATATTCAATAGCTTGGACAAATTATTGTTTAAAAGTTTGGAGCTAAAGAGCCAGTAGGATTAGGCTCAGCACAAAGACTGGATGACAGAGTGATAGCCAGAGTTAATGCAATCATAGTTAAAAACAAAAGCTACAGCCACCTTTAAGAATGCAGAAATTTCCACATTGTGTTGTGCTGGCGATCCAGTATCAGACGAATCCTGTAACTCAAAAAATAACTGTAATTCTGCATCTAATATGAATCCTTCTGTTTGTCCTCCAGAACTACGGCCTGGAGACAGAGAACCTCCGGACGTTGTCCCACAAGCTGAACGCTTCGGCGAAGAACCTTCAGAACTTCATCCTGGGCAGGCGGAGGGGCGGACACTATGATGGACGAGCTTCCCGAAGGTTACCCAATGATTTCCTAACCTCAGTGGTGGATCTGATTGGAGCAGCCAAGAACCTTCTAGCCTGGCTTGACAGGTATGGAGTCACACATCTGTACTTAACATAAATCCAGACTTTTAATTAATGACTAATCCTCATCCAATATGGACGATCACAAAAATTAAATATCCAAACTCTACTGTACAACTACAACACTTTTTTCTTTACTTTACCTGGTCTTTATGAGTTGTGCTTCTAGTATAAAACAGAATAAAGCACAAAGACTAGAATTATTGTAATCTCCCTCTGACACAATGATACAATAACACAACATGATATATACACAACATGAGAAAAGTTCGTATCATCACCTGTTCCTATTTTTGTGTGTCCAACATCCTCGTCCTACGTGGAAAAATTAAACAAATGTGATTTCCCATTCTGAGGAGCCTTTGATGAAAAACAAGAGCCAAATTTAGATTATAAGCAGTCAGATAATCTTTTTTTGTCTGTTTCAGGTCTCCATTCGCCAGTGTGACAGAGTATTCATTACTGAAGAACAACATCGTGCAGCTCTGCCTCGAATTAACTACAATTGTACAACAGGTGCTTACACACACATACAGCATCAAACACCCGTGATGCATGCATCATACACTCCATCGTGCCCAAGTTCATTACGCCCATCTAATAAAGGTCAGGGTTTGAAGTGAAAGGACCAGACTTAAGTAGGTTTGGATTGGAAATGTCAATATGGCTGCAGCTTGCTCTGGTGTGTAGCTCATTTCTATAGATTTGACTATGAGTGGAGCATATGTCCACTGCCACAGGCTATGTGTGGCATGGCTGAGGGGACGAGTGGCTCTCAGTAACATCCTCAGGCAGTGTATTCATTGACTCATTGACTCTCGTCCACTGCTTAACTTAGGGGCTCTGATGGAGAATGAACGAGGGGTCTCTTATCACTTCAATTCCTGTCCTCCTTCTACCCTCTCTCTCTAGCACACTCCCTCACGTTCATTTGCTACAGTAAGACACACATTTGCCAAAAAAAACAAAACTGGAGGTGCAAACACTCTAATACTGTAGAAATCTCATTGTTTGGATAGAAACTATGCCTGCTGTCCTGGACATCATCCATGTCCTCCCTGTAAGAGCCTGCTTAGAGTGTGTGTTGAGAGTGTGTTTGTGTGTGTGCCCAGAGTGAATCCTGGAGCTGAGCAGATAACACCCATCCCCTCTTACAAGAGCCATAGGAGAGCGAAGAGAAAGGGGCCACCGTAGGGCCACAATGGGCCAAATGAACTTGCGGCTGCCAAGGTGCAGCGAGACAGACAAAGGTGGCAGCACTGCCCGCACTAATGCATCAAACAGACAAATTAACTGCTCCCATGCACATCTGGCGGATTCAGCGGGCTGCTTTCCCAGGACTAGATTAACTATCAGCTATCGTTAAATAACAATCTGTCATGTTCAAATAATGTCATTTCTAAATCCTAAGGAGGCTTATGAATCTCCACACAGAAGAGTCACTCCAAAACTGGTCAATCCAATGTATTAGCCTGCCTGGATTCTAAAGTACCAGACATAATGTGGAGGGTTAGAAATAAAACAGCTGACTGCCAATGTTCTCCGGTGGAGAAGAAGTCATCCATCTCTTATTTCTCTTATTTCCTTCTTTCTGCATTGTTATATTTGGAGGAAGGAGATATTTGAGCCTCTGTGCGGATGTCCACATTGATGCGTTCTCCTTCTTATATATTCTTCTTCTTTCTCTTCATCTTCTCATTTTGCAGGATTGCACTGTGTACGAGACAGAGAATAAGATTCTCCACGTGGTAAGTTTCTGTTTTAAAATATCAAACTCTTTTTTGAAATATGAATACTTTTTGAATGTTTTTTTTATGACAGACAACGAGGATGAGATATACCCATGAAATGGCATCCATTAAATGGAGAGATAAAACAGCCGAGTGTATGCAGTATTTCATTTCGAAGATTTCAAAGTTCTACTACACAGAATCAAAGGTCTGATAAAAGGAGAGGTTCGACATTAGCGAAGGTAACTAGCAAGAGGATGGTTTCAATTTTCTCGCCTTAGCAAGAAAGCAAACCCAATGTAGAGCCATCCCTTCAGTGAAATCTTATCACTTCTGGTTGACATACTGGTTTTGTCATTTTGCTCTGTTAGCAGTTGCAATGATTTTGCCTGTGAAACAAAATGGCATGTGCTCAAAAACAAACTGAAGAAAAAGACAGCTGAACCCTTTGTGTGGCTGCCTGTGTCTGTTTGTGTTTTCTGCATGTGTTTGTGTGTGTGTGTNNTGTGTGTGTGTGTGTGTGTGTGTGTGTGTGTGTGTGTGCATGTCAGAGTACTATATGATTTTTATAGGAATTTGCTGCACACGATTGTAACCGTCCAGCCTGAGGCCTTTTGCAAGCTTTATTTTATCGTGTGTGTGGAGAGCGCGTGCGTGCATGTGTGACAGAGAACTGTCTGTGTCCACGTGTGAAAGCGAGTGAGCAGCTAGTGTCTGATCTGGGCTGACAGTTGGATTGGGACACTTCCTGCTGTCATTCAAGGTCAGGTGGAGAAAACCAAATAACATGATGGCAGGAGGAGTTCACGGTCAAATATTTGAGCATTTTATGCCGGGGAACATACTCAGATCAAATGTTGAGAAGTTTACATATATATGACACATTTCTGTCAACAAGACTAATCACGAGACTGAATTTCAGAGGTTGGTCTCTCCAAATTGTGATGCAGCCCCTGTCAGGATTATTCCCCCCGCAGTGATTTGGTTGCGAACAGCGGCTGTCATTTACTTCTGTTGTTAAAGGCCTGCTAATGAAACAGGACAGTGACATTGGGCTACTTTAAATAATTAGATGGCACACATGCACTCAGACAAACACACACACACACACACACACACACACAAGCTTTATCCATCTGTGTACCTGTGCACATAATTATACATGTTTCCTGGAGAAGTACTTAAACCTAAATCATAATAACTACTTACACTTACCCTAAACAAATTCAACCCTTAATTTACCCCAACCTTAAATAAACCCTAGATGTACCCTAACTTTAGTCTACCTCTAGATTTACCCCAACTTTGATCTAATTTTAGGTTTACGCCAATTTTAAACATACCCCAGATTTACTCCAACTTTAATCTAACCTTATTTTTACTAAAATTTCAAACCATAAATATTTACCCCTAAATTGAATCTTACCTTAGATTCAGCCTAGATTTGATTTAACCTTCAAACATGTCCTCACTTAAAAATATAGTTATTATGGAGACTTTCCTTTTGTCCACCTAAACTCAAACAGATTTAGGTCTCCACTACATGAGAAATACCTGGACCACACATGCACAGAGGCGCTTGCATGTGCCTGCACACACACACACACACACACACACACACACACACATACACACACACACATACACACTGGGTGCCAGACTAAAGGCTACACATGACTAAGTCTGTTATGTGTGGGAGGTTTATGTGTGAAATAGGGAGACAGCATGAAGGGAGAAAGGGAGAGTGGAAGGAGGAGGTGTTTGCTATTAGATGCTGCTTCCTTTGTGATCGTATGCATTTTAGAAATTAATAAAGTGGAGGTGAAGTGACACAGCCACACATGGGACACACATGGCGATACAATAAATGCAGAACACAGAGTGATCTCTTATCTAGTTTACATAAGAACTGTAGTTGTTCTATGTCTGATGTGTCCCATGTGTCATCTTAATGATGGAGGAAGAAGAGGCAGATCCAGAAGATGGTGGTAATGCACATTAACGTTGGTTGTCAACCACCAATAAGCCTGAAAGAAGAAGAAGAAGAAAGAGCAAACGTTAGAAAGAACTATTGGAAGTTGCATCACACAACCACAACTATGTATATGGACATTTCCATTTGCTAAGCTAAACTAACCAACCACCATATTTACAGTACAGATGTAAGAGTGGCATCATTCACCTCTATGTAAACATGTCTATTTCTATATTATTCAGTAATGTGTTTATGGTTTGTGATCCATACAGACATTTATGTAAGAGCCTCTCAGCCACTGTGCCCCCAGTGTACATCCAGCATGGGGTTCAGAGACCGTTTAATGCTCTGCTGTAGCTACTGTAGTGGTAGTTTGTACGTTCGTCAGCTTCTGCTCAATAATGCAAAACCTACTGCTATTCTGCTCTCCTCTAGACTACGGCCTGCAGCAATCAGATGGACAGGGACTACTGTGTGTGTGTGTGTGTGTGTGTGTGTGTGTGTGTGTG